TGATTTCCTTTTGCTTGGAACCATATGAGCTTTGGATTTTGATGAGGATCCATATTTTGGTAGAGGAAAAGATGATTGTGATGGCATGGTGATCCACAGGTCAACCTTGTATGACCACTTTCCTTGTACCAACTACATGTCGATATCTTCTTCTCTTCACCCTTAGACGGTATACGATCGTGATTTTTTGGTCGGCCAGGTAGCCTGCTGTCCATGACTGGTGGCAAAACTGTTGTAAGTCATATGGTATGTCCACTCAGAAGGATATGGAATAGGGTAGACAATCTCGGCATAAGTCTCTCGATATACTTCTGTAGTATAGCAATCCATAGCGTATGCGCTTGAACCATCTTGGTTTAGATGAAGAGCAACTTTATAACATGGCCACACGGATAATCAGATGTTTGCCATTTCTTACAACTACACGTCTTTGCATTTAGATCGACAAGCCCATTTAAGTTATTATCCAATACTTCAAACAAAGTGTTTGAACATGGTTCAACTCTCCATGACGTTGACTTCACAACATGTTTCGTTATCTTTTTTTCAGTCCATGGTGTAACACGACGTTCCAATGTTCCTGTAAATTTAAATAAATAATACTTAGTAAAATATTTAAATATGATAAGTTACGAATTTAAAGAAATAATACATGCATGGTTTCTTTTCTTGTAGTATCACTGTTGAATAGAGGCTCGAAAAAACTCCATTAACATAGTAATGGGTAATTTTCGGGAATGACGACTTAGAGCGTTGATTGATTCTGCACTATTAGACGTCATGAAACCATATCTTGCTCCAAGTTGATGTACTCTTGACCATCTTTCAAACCCGACATCTTCTAGTGTTTGAGCACATTAAGACAAAAAATGTCTTAAACAATTTATATGCTTATTAAAATCCACTTCCCGATAAGCTTTTACAGCCTTCTAGTATGTCCATTTGTGATTTTTTATACCAGTAGACCTTGATTTTAGATTTCTGTACAAATGAACACCACAAAGTCTATGAAAAGCATATGGGAAACACCTTCTAACAGCATTGTCAATTGAGTTTGCCCTATCGGATATGATTTGTCAGATTGCTAATAGGACCTATACAATCCCTAATATGCCCCATAAACTATGCTCATGAATCAGAGGTTTCAGATTTGCCAACCCCGTAAGCTATTGGTAGTATCACATTGTTAGCATCCATGACTACTGCTAATAAGTTTACTCCAAGGTATCGACCTTTCAAATGTGCTCCATCAACTATAATAACTGGGCGCATGCAAGTAATAAACGAACGAATCTACAAAATCATATACATAAAAAATATAATCATTTAAATGTGAAATACATGCAACTAACAAAAATGAGTCAATCAAATTATAATGATTTACTAACCGCAACACCAATGGCGATAAACAGCAACTCAAAGCGTCCATCTCTATCTGTTTTAATATGAGTTACCGACCAAGGATTTTTCAGCTTTAAATTGTAAAAATAAGCCGGCAGTTGGTAAACGATGCTTCTGGCGACCCCCTCAACAATTCCAAGGCATAACATTTGGCTCTCCAAGCTTGAGAATATGAGATACTAATCTTGAACTGAGCATTCATGTCAGTCATAATTTCATGTCCCCGATATACCCTTCCATTCAAAAACATTAACTCAGCCAGAAAACCACCCAACACCTTTTTGTTTGCCTGTCTATGGTGAGAAAAAACTTGGGTTCTTGAACATGTATGTTTATCAATAAAAGTCCTAACTTAAAATATTTCGCAATCTTTTATCCTCTTTGCAATCATACGCTACGTATAATTTTTGTCAATCATACACTTGTTTCGAACGATCTTTGCTTGATTTGTTAACTTTTAGTTGATAGCCATCTTCCACACATTTCGTATACAAAACTATCTTCAAGACTTCTTTGTACCAAAACAATCATCTTTCTTGATACGAAATTTTGTGTAACAATCAACTGTGTCTTTACCAACTTTTCTTCTGGTATTGAAGTAATTCTGGCATATTCCAGTTATACTCCCGTGGCATTTTCTTCTTTTTCTTTTCTTCGGGAACTTTTCTTCTTCTTTTCCTTCTTCGGGGTTATATGAATTACAGGATGGACGTTCAACATGTTCATTCACATTTGTAACTTCCTCCTCATTATCATCAACAACATCTTCCTCGGCAGCGGCTGTTTCATCATCAAAATTCGGGTATTGACCAATATCAAATCATTACATGCAGGGTCTGTTTCTTCTTCTGAAACATCATCAAAATCCGAGTATTGATGAAGATCAAAGTCCGGGTATTGACCAAGATCAAATTTCGAATACTGACTAGCACTCACAATTTTTTCTGTTGGCTCATAATCGTCTAACTGGTCAATACGAAAATAGAATTTGGTGCTGAAAGTTGATTGGGATTTGGATTAGGAAAATGTTGTGGGTTTGAGATTGTGTTTGGTATTGGAAATGTGTTGAAACAAAATTTTCTTGGTGATGAAATTGTGGTGGAACCATTAAATTTTGAGATTGATAACAACGTTGTACATTGTGAGCACCATAAACTGGGGTTGAAGAAACTTAGTTGATTACTACCGCTACTGACCCAACTTCACTACTTATAGGTTCAACAACATACAATGTAACATCATCTTCTTGCGAAACACTAATGTAAGCAATGAATCGTTCAACATCTTCATTGTCGGTTAACAAATAAACTTTACCTTTTCTCTGATAAGATATCCTAAATCCACTTAGAGGCTCTAAATTCAATTTCTTTGCAACACGTAACATTAGAGTTTCATAAGTTAACTTTTTTAATGACAGTTTTAGTTGAAGATTCATGGGTAAAGGCATATATTGTAAAACACCATGAACATTCTCCCATGACCCTCCAAAACACAAATATATCCAAACATGATCAACATTAGATAATTTCATTCTACAAATTGTAAATTAATTTACTAAACAAACGAGCTATAAACTACATATCATCACTAACTTAGAGAAAAACATACCTTTATTAAGTTGATAGTTGATAATTTGGGAGAGAAATCATTGAAAAATTATATAGAATAAAATTATGTAAAAAAAATAGAGATGGGGAAGGATGGCGTTGGATATAGGAACGGATGTCGCCGAGAGAGTGATAGATGGAGATGGAATGAGTTGGATTTAGGGATTTAGGTTATGAGTTGTTGCTGCTGCGTAGTTATATACCCAAAATATTTGTGTTGCGAAACTAAAACCTGTTGCGAAATTAAATTCGTGTTGCGAATTCGAAAATCGAGTTGCGAATTTGAAAATCGAGTTGTGAATTTGAAATTCAGTTGCGAATTTGAAATTCAGTTGCGAATTTGAAATTCAGTGTTGCGAATTTGACTTCTGTGTTGCGATTTACAAATTCGCGTTGCGAATTTGACTTTTGTGTTGCGAATTTGACATCAGTGTTGCGATTTACAAATTCGCGTTGCGATTTACATATTCGCGTTGCGAATTTGGAAACTAGGTTGCGAAATTGGAGTTCGCGTTGCGAATTTGTTGGTCATTTTCGCAAATCCAAAAATAATTGGTTAAAATCATATATTATAAGGTATTTTCGGTCACTGATGTTGTTTTCTCTAAAATTAATTGGGTTCATATTTGAGAATAATTTCTTTTTTTCCAAATAATTTAGGATTTATATTTTATTTAATTGATTTGAATTTTTTTTATTTGGGTTTAAAATTAATTGAGTTTTAAAATATTAATGGGCTCAAGATTAAAATTTGTTAGGTCTTAAAATTTCAAGCGTATTTAGAGATTGAGATGAATATAAACGAACGAACATAAACAAACATAAATGAATGAAACATAATCAAATAAATTATCGAACGTAAAAGAACGAACAAGCCCTTTATTCGTGTTTATTTACTTAATTAAACGAAACATAAAATCTTATTTATATTTGTACATTTAATAAATACACGATCTTCCCACCTAGCGATCTGCTAAACCTTCGGTTAGTTTATATGCCTAGCTTTGATTAGGGATGGCAAACGGGCGGGTCGGGTGCGGATACCCCCTCTCTCATCTCCATAGCCACCTAATATTTTTCAATCCACCACCCGCCCACCACCCATGATGGGTACAAATTTTTAAATCCACACCCGCCTACGCGGGTACATTTTCAAATCCATCCCCACACCCACTAGCGACATACCTATCTAGACCCGCATGACACAAACTAATGGGATGTTGGTTCCCAGATATTCGTGATGGGTAGCAACGCATGCTTCAATTTGTCAGAGGAGTGACTCTAAGAATGTTATGAAGACATATTGTAGGGAGCATGTAGTCACATAGTTGGATTGTTGTGTTGCTTTCGATGTTAATGCTCATAGTGCGCCTAATATGGGTTTTGAGGGGCTAAAGAACATGAAAACTGCTTCTTTTGATGTTAATGCTTATAGTACGGCTAATTTGTATTTGGATGGGCAGCATGGGCTAAAGAACATGAAAAGTGACGTGGTTAGTGAGATTATGAGTTTAATCAAAGAGCCGAATATTTCTCTAATTAAATACCAGATTAAAGACTAAATATCCATAATATTTGGTTAAATCATATGTTATATATTATATAATATTAAAATTTATAAATTAGTCTCTAAAATTACACTTAAATTCATAATGGTCCAAAATTTAATAGATATTTAGCTGGGCGGGCGGATGCGGGGCGGGTAATGTCTCAAACCCATTACCCGCCCACCATCCACGACGGGTACCACTTTATAAATCCACACCCGCCAACTACCCGTTAAAATTATACCCATCCCCGCTCCAAATAGAACGGATACGATGCGGAATTTACGAAACTGTACCCGTTTACCATCCCTAGCTCTGATCCATATGATAGTACGTGAGTGATATTCTAAAAACTGTAAGGGTAATTATGACATTCCTGAAAACTCATAAAACCTAATCTCTACATCCTTTTATTCACTACTAGCGTTTTAGTTTGTTGGAATTAAACCCTAACTGTACATCGAGACGAAGACACTGTTGGAGCCAATGGCAACCTACGACTTAACCCCACGGATCGCTCCGAATCTCGATAGGCATTTGGTGTTTCCGTTGTTGGAGTTCTTGCAAGAGCGTCAGCTATACCCAGATGAGCAGATCTTGAAAGCGAAGATCGAGCTGTTGAACAAGACGAACATGGTCGACTACGCCATGGACATCCACAAGAGCCTCTACCACACCGATGATGTCCCCCAGGACATGATCGACAGGAGAGTCGAGGTCGTCGCTCGTCTTAAGGCTTTGGAAGACGCCGCCGCCCCTATCGTCACTTTCCTGCAGAACCCTAACGATGTCCTGGAATTGCGTGCTGATAAACAGTATAATCTCCAGATGCTCAATGACCGTTACCGGGTCTGTTTTTTTCTTCTAATTTTGGTGGCGTTTTTTCGTTGAATTTAGGGTTATGTTTAGAATAATTTTAATGGGGAAGAAGATTACTTTTACAGATTGGTCCAGATCAGATAGAGGCATTGTATCAATATGCAAAATTCCAGTTTGAATGTGGAAACTACTCGGGTGCTGCTGATTATTTGTATCAGTACAGGGCTTTATGTACTAACAGCGAAAGGAGTTTGAGCGCTTTGTGGGGGAAGCTGGCAGCTGAGATACTGATGCAAAACTGGGATATTGCTCTTGAAGAACTTAATCGTTTGAAAGAAATAATCGATTCCAAGGTTTCCATTATAATAATGATTGATTATACTGTTTTTATTTTGAACATTTGATTTCCCTTGATTCATTGACCCATTTGTTTGCATTTGGTGTTTGTCTTCTTGCTGCAGAGTTTCTCATCGCCTTTGAACCAAGTTCAGAGTAGAATATGGCTTATGCATTGGAGCCTCTTCATCTTTTTCAACCATGACAATGGAAGAACTCAGATCATTGACCTGTTTAATCAAGACAAGTATGTCACTTCAATAACTAACCCTAAGATCTCATTATTTTTGTAGTTTGTGACATTATGGTTTTAAGCTTATCTGTTCTTTGTGCATTTCTTTGTATTTTTATGCTTCAATTTTGGATTCTGCTGGAGTAAAACATGTTTAGATACTTTATGAAATTCCTTCAATCATTGTTTAATATACAACCTGCCATATGATTTGCTATACATTTGGTCAAATTTTCATGGTTATAGTAGGTCAGAAGTCGGCCAGACTGCTTTGGAGATTTGTTTCCTAATGGAGATTGTTGTTGGAATTAAACATAACAATTTTCTATGTGGCTAGATAATTTTACTCCTTTTTGTTCATGCGTTATTGTTTTCTCTGGGTTTACATATTGTTATCCAACCTTTTTATTTGCTTTATCTTATATGGTGGTTTCACTTCTTTCCAGGTATCTAAATGCCATTCAAACCAGTGCTCCGCATCTGTTAAGATACCTAGCCACTGCTTTTATTGTCAACAAAAGGAGAAGACCTCAATTCAAAGAATTTATCAAAGTTATCCAGCAAGATCAATGCTCTTACAAAGATCCCATCACAGAGTTCTTGGCATGTGTTTATGTCAACTATGAATTTGATGGAGCACAGAAGAAGATGATGGAGTGTGAAGAAGTAAGTTTGATTATAGTATCCTATATCAACAGAAGATTTTGTTAAGTTCCTCACTGTCTCAATTGCTGATGCTTCCTACAATCATGATGTGCTGAAATATTTTAGCTGTATGTTTGATTTCTGAATTTCAAACACTATGTTTACGTCATGTTTTTCCCGCTTTTGGTGTAGGTGATATTGAATGATCCCTTCCTCGGTAAAAGAATTGAAGAAAGTAACTTTTCAACTGTGCCATTGAAAGATGAGTTTCTTGAGAATGCCCGTCTATTTATCTTCGAGACATACTGCAGAGTTCATCAGCGTATTCAAATGGGGTAAGTTCCTTCTTTGTCGAACTAATAGCTAGCTTCTTTTGTGGACAATTGACTTGCATATTAAAATTACGGTTGCATTATGACTGAATGACATTGGAAGCATGTATTCATTTGATTCCTATTTGCCAGTTCCCATTGGCCTTCTCAACTTATTCACACACTGTCACTAAAAGAATATAAAATTTATGAGATTCTCCGATGAGAGGGAATTTCTGCTTATATATTTTCTGTAGTTTTAGTTGTTTTTGAGCCGACGTTAAATGGATTTTTCATGTGTTCCAAGGGTGCTTTCTGAGAAGTTGAATTTAAATTATGAGGAGGGAGAGAGATGGATTGTGAATCTAATCCGAAACTCAAAGCTCGATGCCAAGATTGATACCGAGATGGGAACCGTTATTATGGAGCCTAATCAGCCCAACGTGTAAGATTTTTGTACATCGATGTTAACAATAAACTCCATTCATTCCTCCACTTAGTTACATTTGATTTTGTTGTTGGATTTCTCCAGTTATGAGCAGTTGATAGACCACACCAAGGCTCTCCAAGGACGGACTTACAAGCTAGTCAACCAGCTTCTTGAGCATGCACAGGCACAGCCTGCTCGATAAGTTGGAAACGAAGCTCATCGAAATTTATTGCACTTTTTGACTGTTTATTTCCTAGAGACTAATTTAAGAGTGATTATAGTTTTGATTGGTACTCTTTTCAATCTATGACTACGAATTGGTTGTACGTTATGTTTCAGGGTAATAAAATTCAGAGGTGCTCTTGTCCTCCTTCTGATTTCCTTCATGTTACTGATATAACATGAAGGATATGAAAGGGGTTTTAATGAGGCCTAACTTCTATCAAAATTTTTTTTTTTGAAAGTATGGAAATGTTTAAAGTTAGACACCTTATACATGCATGCATGCATGCATGGAGAAATGTTTTGTCCCGATTTTGGATGTTATAAGCTAATAAGGTGGTAATTAGACTTGATTCGGGTTCAAGTGGTGCTTGGTGGTTTATGGTTTGGAATTTTTTTGTGGGTGCAATTAGATTAATTTAGGGGAAGTTTTATGGTACAAATTAGAATTTCAGACTAAAAAAACAGCGGAAATAGAGACTATTTTTTAATTAAATTAGAATGATTATAAAGTAGTATATGTTTTAAATATTCTTAACCATTTGATAATGAATTCTCAATTATCATGTTGCAGTTGTTGGTACTTGAACCGTTAATCTATATGAAATGAAACGCAATTGAAAATGTGATCAAAAGCCTTAACATATAACATTCTTTATAATATTTTTATTATAATCTAAAATGGTATCTTTTTTCTAATATTTTTTGTTAGCAAAAAAAATGTTACTTTCTTTATAACATTTTAAGTTCTAGTAAAAAATGTTTTGAAGAACCTTACATTTTAAGTTGTGATAAACTTAAAATGTTATATTTTCTAATCATATTTCCAGTTGCGTCTCGGTATTTTTTAATTTTAGATTATACTGTCACTTTTAAACTTTTGCTGGATGTAAATTTGAATTCATCTTTGTTGGGTTTTGGTTAAAATTTGAACTTCTTTTACCCATGATCAACCGTACTATTGAACAATTTAATAGATAAATTAAACCAAAAAATCTCACAAGAAACAAAGCTTATTCAATAGTTGGGTTTATGACTTTTAACAAGTTCAACACCTAATCACTGTATCATTATTGAAAAAATTAATATTTAGATTAAATTATCATTAAAATTAATTATTGATTTTAGGATATTATAATTTATAATATGTTACAATATTAGTGATGATAATATAACTTTTTAACTCTAATACTTTAAAAGATATCTGTTCACACTTTAATGACCGTGATGTAATTTACCCAAATTGTTAGTTAGAGATGGCGCGATAACGTTTCACAGAGAGAAACCCTCGAAATTCAATTTCATTTCGCACCCAAAAGAAACCCTACCAAAACCTTGAATCCCAGAAAATCAAAAGGAAAATTAGCTAAAGAGGACGAACTAATGGCGGTCTCTTTCAGTTCTATTACTCTTAATGCTGTCTCGAGATCGTCTCGCTTCTTACCTAAGGTTTCATCTTCTCTCTGTAATGTTTTATAAATTAGTTTTGCTCTCTCTCTGTGCGTTTCAACGGCTAGAGATTTTTGGTATTGAATGGAAGCGACTTCAAAGATATCGTGGGTTCATTAAAAAAAATCCCTACATGCTTACTTCAATGTGTCGTTTTTGTTTGAAATGATTCTCATGAATGTTTTATTTGCTATTCAGTGATGTATTTATTTTAATCAGTTTCTTTGTTCTTCAAAACTTGATTTTCTCTACACTAGTAGTGTTTCTCATCCTTTTTTGGGTGGTTTATGGCATAGCTGGACCTTCAAATATCTTTATTGTCCTCTGACATTGTTGCTTTATTCCCAGTTTGCACGAAGAGATGCAATCAGTTTTGTTGGGGCTTCCACACGCAATCATTCTTCTGTAGGTAGCTTCTCTTCCATTCTCAACTTGTTTCTTGTTTTTGTCTATCTATTTGGCAGTTTGTATTACTTTGTTGCATCGCCTGTTTTAATTTGTATTATATGCTTTTGTATGTGCATTCCATAAGTTGCTGTTACACTGATTTGGCACATTTGCTTTAGTATGAACATTAAATATGTGTTTAAGTTGCTACTCGCCACTAAATATTTGTTCCAGAGATTGCATGATGAAGGGAGATGTCAATAGCCATGAATTTTACTGTAATTCACACTTATTGAACGTGTAGGAAACTTACAATTAAATATATAAGCCTATGTCTTATATTAGGTAACTTCTAAACTAGGTAAGAGACTCATTTTAGTAACAAAAAAACAAACTGCGTTTGGTTCACGGAATGTATATTTGACCAAATTGTCCTTATTATATATTTGTATAATATTACAAATTGTAAAATATTTATATATTTTCTTTAAAAAATTAAATTCATAATATTTATATAATTATTTTTACAAAATTAAAAATATAAAAAAGGTTTAATGAAAGGTAAAAAAAATTTTAACCCCTGAACTTCATATAAAATTTTAATTATAGATTTTTTTTTGTAAATCTAAAACAATTTAAGGATAAATTTGTAATTTAACATTCGTAGAATTTTTATTATTCAATGACAGAAGAATGATATTTTTGAAAAAAAAATAAAAATTTAAGGGCATTTTAGTCCAAAACGCCGGTAATGTTACAATACCTAAGGAAGGGAGGTAATGACATTCCCGGTAATATACCACAAAAATCTACTATTGGTAATAAAACATTACCGGGAATGAGATTCCCGACCAACCAAACATGAGAATATGGATTCCCATCCCATGAGAATCCCACAATCATTGAACCAAACACCCCTTAGAGTTAGAGATCCTAACTAATTTCCAAAAAAATTTAATTTATTTTCCAAAATCTATTTTTGCGAAACAAACAAACCCTAAATTCATACTAATTGGTATAATCGTTGAATTAGACATCGTCCCTTCGAGATTAATACAATTCTTCAAAAGTATTACGGTCAAAATTTTAAAAAGATAACCAATTGATTAGTCTAAATTGATTTCAATGTTATCTATGTTCGATAAACTCAAGCTAATGATTTATTCGAATCTAAGAGCTCTAGAGATAAATAAGATTTCTTGCTCGAACTCTTTATTTTATTTTGTATGAGCTCATCCTTTATATCAAATTTTAATTTCTTACTATGCGATTAACGAGTTGCATGCTGATAACTCGGATCATATTAATCAATTGCCTAAAGCAGCAATTTTGAAATTCTCTAATTAGAACAATTTTCCACCTTCAAGGTACAAAAAAGCAATCAAATCATGTGTATTAAATATATTAATCATCAAATCCAATTTAATCCAGAATTCGATTTCATCGATTAAGAAATTTAAATCATAACTGTAAACAACACAAAACTTGATTTAATTACATGAAACAGATCCACTGAAAATTTCAAACAACATTCAAAACGAATCGGAACTCTCCCGGTAATCAAAACCAACGGAATAACGAAAGAGAGAGATCCAGTTTTGCGATAACTTAACTTGTTGATCCGCTCGATCTTGCACGTAAATATATCCGGCCAGGCTGTTCGCCTTGTTTCCTAACGGAAACGCTCGTCTTATTGCCTTTGTAAACCACGATTCCGTGCTGCTTGTTGTCGTCATCTTCGACGGAGTTTCTTTTCTCGATCGGCGCCGTCAGAGTTGCCGGAGGAGTAGAATCTACTGCCGGTGAAGACTGAGCTGGACGAGGATAGAAGAAATCTGTGGGGAAAAAGTAGTATTGAAGACCTGCCATGGAAATTTGAAACTTCGAAATATGAGAAAAAAAATTTTGCTGATTGTTGCGAGGAATTATAGGTTTTGAATGAGATTTGTAGGGAGGGAAAAGAGGCGGTTAGTTCGTTTGGGAATTCGTCCTGGGGATTCAAGTCTTTTGTAAAGGTAGATTAACATTTTTACCCCTCATACTTTATTATTTTAGTTATTTTAGCCCTTAAACTTGTATTTCTGGCCATCAAACCTTTTTTTAAAAAATTGAACCAAACGTGAAGACACAAAGATCTAAATTTCTTTTGATAGAGATGGAAAAGTTCGTGACGTGGCTTGTTTGGTGAAAAAATTACGAGAAAAATAGGATCTGTGATGGATACATAAGTGTTCGGTTGTTAAGCTAATAATATAGAAGTGTGTCAAGTTATTGAATACATAAAATTTTGTGTGCTTGAACTCTTTATAATCGTTTATAGTGGATTATTATTTTTTATCTCTAGATGTAGGTAGGATTGAACCACGTTAACATTTACCTCTTGTGCGTGATTTTATTTTTATATTCATCTCATATTGATTATATTTTACTTACAAATTCTTAATAGTCATTATTGAAGTGCTAGACTTGATTGTTTTATCTTTTTCTTCAATGTTATAAAAATTTCAGAAAAAAATAAAAATTTTTAAAAAGTAATATATGTATCTCGAAAATATGTTTTTTTTTCTTGATTAAGTGATATGAAAGAAAAATATCCAATTTCAACTTAAATATGATGTTATTTAATGTTATATCCTAATCAATTTGATAAAAATAAATAAATAAAAGGGCTAATAGAAAATTTAAGAGCTAAAATGATTAAATTTGTAAAGTTAAGAGACAAAAGCGTCATTATTCCTTTTGTAAACGTGTGTGAGATTTCCAAAGCGTGGCGCCTTTTGATTTGACGAGCCGTTGGATTGCCATAGATGCTTGTTTCTTTGACCAATTGTTTCTAGAAATTTTCGTGATTTCTTTTGGGCCACGTTTGGGCATGGAACATTCCTCTTTATGATTCATCTAGATGGAATGTGATAGGATGGGCACCGTTTCGAATCCTATAGGTTTTGACGTGATCCGATTTATTATATCCGATTTATTTAAAAAATTAGGTTTAGATCGGATCGGATTATGTTTTTTACTCAATATATTATTTTATAAATATGTTATTTCGGGTCGGATTTGAGTTTTATCTCAAAAGGGAGAGTCGGGTGGAGGGTGTATAATTTTCAGGCAGAGTTTAAATCAGATGAAAGGATATTATTTTCAAGTCGGGTTCGGATCGGATGAAGAATATATTATGTTCGGATCGGGTTAATCGGAAACCCGACCCAACCTAACTCATGCATGTCCCTAATTGTGATCATATTATTAGCTTAGTGTAGCTCGAATTAGAAAATTTAATTCAATTGATTTAGATTTAGGGTAAAGCACATGAATTGTTCCTCGACTACATGATATTGTTTTATTAAGTCCATTAACTATTAAAAATTATAAAAGAATCCTTTGGCTATAAAATGTTGCTTTATTAAGTCCCTCAACTATTGAAAGTTACAAAATAGTCACCCGATTATTTATTATGTTCCAAAGTCGTCCTTTTTGTTTACAAAAAATGATGGTTCTCTAAGTTGGATGTTAGTATGATGACTGAGATACGATAGTCGTTTGAGATTCTGGGATCAAATTTTATCATATCTCAATCAGTAAGTTAACATTCAACTCAGAATATCATTAAATTTTTAACGAAAAATAACGAGTTTGGAATATAATGAATAGGTGAGTGATCGTTTTGTAACTTTTAATAGTCAAGACACTCAGCAAAGTAACACTCTACCATCAGATGATTATTTTATAACTTTTAATAGTCGAGAGATTTAATAAAATATTACCCTATAGTCGAGGAACCATTTGTGTACTTTACCCTTAAATTTAATAAATAAAGATAATGGTAAGGTCTCGAATAAAGATTCGAAAATCGTATCTCAAAAAAAAAAAGAATTCGAAAAATCAATAAATTTGAAATGATTTGAAATAAAAAAATATAAAAATAATTGAATAATTTTAAATAATAATTGAAGTGTAATAATAATAAAAACATATCAAAAATAGTTTAATTCTTATATTTTAGGTAAATTATATCCATAACCACCTAACTATAAGGTGATTCTAGTTTTGATATTTTAATTTTGTCAATCAAAATCACATAATTACTTAAATAATGTCAATTTATCGTTAATATTTAATAAAGAAACAAATGTGACAGATTGACATAGTCACACAATTGATCTTTATTATTCTATCAATCTGATCTTAATCACTTTAGCTTAATAAAAAAATCTTAATTATGATACAATAGCTGATAATATTTATAATATTATTATATTATAAATATTATAGTATAATAATCATTTGTTTATTTGATAGAATTTTTTGGTACAAGATAGAATTTTATCATAGTTAGGGTAGTTAATGTCTTAATGAGATAGTGTTCAAAGTAGATGAATTGTAACCTTTTTATTATTATTATTTGTGATATATGGATATATATTTTTTATAAATCGAGTGAATTATTTTTAACTAAAAAATAGTTTGTCAACAATTTTTTTTTTGTAATTCTAAAATGGTGTTACCATGTGGTCCTCTACATTTATCATATGTCTATTTCAACCTGTTTTTTCCCCTTGTTTGTTAGGTTACAAAATGAAGGCCACTTACACAATAAAGATAGATTCATCATAAATTTAATGAAACTCATCTTAATTTTAACTCGAACCGAAACAATTCGAGCTTAAAAGAATCTAAAAACTTTAAAATACATTACAAATAAGATAATTTCAGTGATTAAAAGATGATTGTCATATATGTAAGTTTCAAGTTCGAGCATCATGTCTATATAGATGTTTAAGTATTTATTATCAAATATTTGTCGGTCTTTCAAACAAATATTACATGATAATTATTATATTTTAATAAAAAAAACTTTAAGGGTAAAGTATACAAATGGTCTCTCGACTATTGTATACTGCTTTGTTGAGTCTCTTGACTATTAAAAGTTACAAAATGGTTCCTCAATTATAAGATGTTACATTGTTGAGTCACTCAACTACTAAAAGTTATAAAAATGGTCACCTAACTATTCATTTTGTTCCAAACTCGTCATTTTCTGTTAAAAAATTAACGACAATTTGAGCTGGATGATAATACGTTGTCTGAGATATGGTAATTTTTTGAGATTTTGATATCAGATTTTATCACATCTCAGACAATAAATTAACATTCAGACTACTGTCAATTTTTAATGGAAAATAACGAATTTGGAACATAATGAATAGTTGGTGACTATTTTAAGTTTCAATAATTGAGGGACTTAAAAAGCAATATCCTATAGACGGGGACCATTTTATAACTTTATATAGTCAGGAGACTCAACAAACCAACCATTTGTATACTTTACCCAAGCTTTAAATACAAAACAATTCAGTTCAAATTAAATAAATACTAAACTAACCAACGAGATTAGTTCAAATAGTAAACAATATGATATCGTTTAATTACGATCTTGAGGTTGAGTTATTATGTATGTAGAAAATTTCCGTTAAGAGATTCATCCACTAAAATCATGTATACGATACAAATCGATATAGGTTAATCAGAATAAATCATTAAAATCGAGAGTATAATAAAAAAAATTAGATCCTAAACTAACTCGGGTGTGAATTGAGAAGAGGGATGTTTTAGTGAAAAAGAGGGAGAAAGGGCGTTTGGAAGGAAGAGGTGGCGGTACATGGCGGTGATGTGGAAAAGACGACGGGGCAGGCAGTGACAGCGATCTGTTTTCCTCAGTGCCACCAAACGAAGGAATGTGACATTCCATCAATAGTAACGCAGACCATGAGCTTTCCCATTTCATTTCTTGTATGTTTCCCAAATTACCAAATTTGTGCTAACATACACTATTTTTTATTACTTTTGATTTTAAAAGTGCATTAAATATCAGCATCGCCCACTTCCCAACTCTCATGGCAGCTCTTCCCACCAAATTTACCGCTAGCAATTCTCTTTCTCCATTAAAGAACACAAAAAGGCTCTCCCCTTTAAGTTCAAAAAGGCTGATTACCAGAGAAAATCAGAACAGAAAGGCTGAAACAAGTGTGTTTGGTTAGAGGGAAAGTGAAGGGGGAAAAAAGCGGGAAAGGTTTGTTTTTCATCAATGGGTTGTTCTGCTTCAAGACCCAACACTAATATCATCACCAGAACCCATAACTGCAACGAAGATCCGCATTATTTTTCTTCTGTGGATTCATCCATGGTTTCTTCACTTCATTCTCCTTCTTCTTCTCCACCGCCGGCGGCGGCGGTGGTTGTTTCTCGAGCTCTCTCGCTCCCGACGCCGTTAGTCCACCACCCGCCACTGAGAAAAGGCGACAGCCACCACCTCGTTTCGTTGACTTCCACAACTTACGGCTCTCTTTCATTCATCGACATCCAAAGGCCAGAAATTAACACCGCCCAAGGCGACGACTCGCCGGTTCATGTGGACCAAGTCGAGTCATTGTCACCGGACTCAGTCATCAACACGTGGGAACTCATGGATGGGCTCGACGATTGCGGCGATTTCGATCTGGGTAAGCCTAAATCTCTGTTTAATACTCGTACAAAGGTGATTCCATCATTAACAAAGCCATTATGGAAGCATTTATCTGAAGACTCATTGCTTTCAAAGCTTCCTAATGTGGTTTCAAGCTACAGAAGAGCTTTATCTTCAAGGCAATTAGTAAACGAATCCAAAACCCCAATCTCCATGTGTTCTTCAAGCCCTTCATGTACTTCTTCACTCTCTGATAGCTGGGTCAAAGTGCCAACCACTGAGTCCAAAATCGTGTTGTACTTCACTAGCTTAAGAGGAATACGAAAAACATACGAGGATTGTTGTTGTGTTAAGACGATATTCAGAGGCTTTAGAGTCGCAGTCGATGAGAGGGACATTTCAATGGATTCCATGTACAGAAACGAGTTGCAGTCACTGCTGGGAGGGAAAACCATTTGCCTGCCTCAAGTGTTCATCAGGGGGAAACACATTGGTGGGGTTGAAGAGATTAAACAGCTCAATGAAAATGGTGAATTATCAAGGCTTCTTGAAGGGTTTCCGGTTCGAGATCCCGGGGTCGTTTGCGAAGGCTGCGGCGATGCGAGGTTCGTGCCGTGCCCCAACTGCAATGGAAGCAGGAAAGTGTTTGAAGAAGATGTTGATAGATTGAGAAGGTGCCCTGATTGCAATGAAAATGGGTTGATAAGGTGCCCTGCTTGTTGCTCTTCATAAACATAGGCAATGCTGGATTTCGGGATGCATGATTCTTTCCGCTTAATCCGCGGATGGAGGTATATGTTGCTCCGACTCAATTATATTATATATGTCCGAAAATGTATTCCGACATAAGAGTCGGAGCAATGATTATTTGTAGCTGTACAGTTTTGTTTGATGTTAGTTCCTTAATTTCTGGGCTGTCTATATGCTACATGTTCAGCAGATTGTTCTTCTTGTTCATTTCCCTTATGAACTGCACGGAGTTAAAAGGATAATGATCATCATAAATGTGATAAAGACCAAGTTTTGATGCTAAAGGTCCAATTCTTGGGCATCATCGTGGAGGTTAAGCAACATGGATTGCTTTAAATGTACTGTTGAACAGTGCAGACGAGTAGAAATGAATGGTTGCGAGAGTGCAGAAAGGAGTACGATGGACAGTCTGGTGTGTCCCCATGGTCACACGGTCAATCGGCAATTATTAAGGGAACCATGTGCTGTGCGCTACACCCGACGATTTTGGGCCTTGCATTTGGGCCTTGCATTTAGAAGTGAAAAAAATAATCAAATTAATACGACATAATATAAGATTTACACAAAAGATAAGATTTAATGAGGTTCGATTTTTTTACTTTTTTAGATTTACAAATCATTATTTTATCATTTTACAAAATCATCATCTATTTATAAAGTCTAATATTTGATCATTTTATTTTTTCTATAAAAATTATATTTAAAATAAATATTTACTTTATTAAATAAATTTTAAACACCATAAATAAACCATCAAATAGTGGGAGGTACAAAAATCTGGAACCGATCACCGGTCAGGGCGGTGAAATATTAATAATAGGTTAGGGGTTGAACCAAATTTCAAAATGACGAGAGAGCCTACACATCATCAACAAAGTCCATCCTAAAGCTAATGAAATGAGAAAACAACAATGAAACAAATACAATAAAAAATAATAAAAACTGAATTATTTTCGTGGTTAAATGAAAGATTATTATTTTTATAGATTTTGAGTTTAAAAATTAATAATTGTATATTATTTGAGCATACATAATTAAATGGTTGAGAGTCTTTAGAATAGATTTATTAATTAACTTATTGGTCAACGATATTCATGTGTGCAGGGATGTTCAATCAGCCGGTTCGGTTAACCGATCGAATCGAACTATCAGAAAATCATTAACCGATTCTTTTGAAAATTCTTAATCGAACCGAATAAAGTTCAGTTAATCGGTCGGTTAATCGAACTAACCGAAATTTATAAATAATATTATATATTTAATATGTACTATTTTTGGTTAATTCGGTATGTTAATATGGTTAAAATTGAAATTTAAACACTCCTAAGGCTAAGTGAGGAAGAAAGAAGCTAAAAAGAGAGGTTAATCGATGATTGTTTTTCAAATTTAGGTTGAGGATAAATTTTATGGATGTAAAAGTTTAGATCAACATGGAATCATATTTAAGATAAAAAAAAAGATTATGATCTAATTAGATGCAAAATAATAATAAAATATTATTATTCAATATATTTATGAAAGTATCATTATATAAGATAAAATAAATTCACAATTAAAATCGAATCAAAACTCATTAAATTAAGATAAAGTAACGATCTCTATTCACAATTTTTTTATTAATCTAAGATACTTACAAGTGATATTATCTGTTCTAAAGAGTCTATTTAATAATATATAATTTCTTATTCTTGAACTCGAAACTTATAAACCCAACTCATATGAATTAGCTTCTCGAAAGCATATAGTTTCCAGGGATGGACCGAGAGGTTGGATGGGACACTTGTCCCCTGAAATTTTAAAATTATCTTGTGTTTTAGATTTTCTCTACATATTTTCTATTGAAAATTTGTTTTCCACCCTAGAATTTTATAAATTTAAGTTCACCCAACATAAAATCTTACGTTCGTACATGATAATATCACTTTTAATAGTTGAGGGACTTAATAAATCAACATTATATAGTCGAAGGTCTATTTTGTAACTTTTAATAGTCGAGAGACTTAATAAAACATAATCCTATAGTCGGGACCATTTGTATGATCCGTTTTTATAGTCTTAATTTTTTTAGTATGATCCGTCTTTGTAGTCCTAATATTTTTTTAGTATGATTCATTTTTATAGGGTTGGATTTTAATATGATTGTTTTTATAATTTTAAGAATTATTATTACGATGTCTCTCTTTTTATTTTTTCAATTAATTTTCTATTTTATCGAATAAGATAAATGTTTATATTTATATAAGATCAAATCTAATTGAGTGTAAGTTTAACATTAAAGTTTGAGTCAGCTTGAATCCTCTTAACTTTTATCAGGTCAAATATTAGACGGAGAGATATGATATTTGAGTCGAGTTCGGGTCGATAAAAAAATCCGATCAGACTCGATCCATTGCATACTTTAATGTATAATATTAAAGTCATTATATGTATTCTTTATGACAGTGTGATTTATTAATAAAATATATTATAATGTTTTAGATAATGAATATAATTAAAAGGAATTCAATTAAAATAATAAACAAAGCAACATGTTTCACGTTGGATATATATGCGTTGCCTAACCGACAAACAACGTAAGAATCATTTTGTTGAAGTTTGGAATAAATTAAATTACTTTTTTCTCAACCAATTTTGTTTCAAAATAAATATACAAATTAAAGCTTTAGAACACACTTTTACTTTACCAAAAATTATATATATAAATAAATAAAATAAAATTCCTTTTAGAAGCAATCAATTGGACCAATTCCTTTGATAAAAGTCATGCCAATGGAATATAAGGAATTTAGAAAAGAAGAAAAAAGAGAAAAAAAATAAAGAGTACAATAAAATTCCAAACGTAGTAACTTATCAAAGCGCACAATACAATTACTACTAATAATTATTAGCGTAAACTACGCATTTAATACCTAAACTATTAGTTTTGATCAGTTTTAGTATCTAAACTTTTGATTTTTCAAAATCATACCTAACATTTAGTTTTTGTTTCGTTTTAGTATCATGTTGTTGAAAAAAAATAAAGGAAGAGCTCATCGATTGTCACGTCTACAGTCGTCTGTCATCACATTCGTCGGTCGATGAAGCTCAAACTTTCCAACCCACACCTTTTCGACCAGCTAAAAGCGATTCCAACCTCTATTTCATTAGAAAATACCTCAATCTTTCTAAATCGTCGATGAATTGCTCAACTTCTTCATGTTCGATAACTATCGTCAACCGTCCAATGGGCAAAAAGTGGACTATGTTAGTCGACTCGTCATATTCTCGAGGTCCACCGTTTGGATTGGTCGTCTGTCCGTATGAGGTATACACCGTCAGCCTATCCGTTAAGTTTTTAACGACGGGGTACTAAAATGAAATAAAAACTAAACGTTAGGTATGATTTTAAAAAAAATTAAAAGTTTAGGTACTAAAATATATTAAAACTAATAGTTTAAGTATTAAATGCATATTTTACTCTAGTTATTATTGTTAAAAAATTGTATTTAGACTAGCCGAAGGTTAAGCTGCGTGCTTATCACAAATCATCCTAATCGAACTTTAGACTATTAAATGAGAATCTTTGTATTATTTCGACCCGTCTCAAGAAGTTAGTAGGTCTGTAAATGAACCAAACGCACACGAACAGAGGTATATTCATGTTCGTTCATTTAATAAATAAACGAACATAAACGAACACGAACATAAACGAACAAATTTTTTTTTGTTCATGTTCGTTCATTAAGGAATATAGCTTGTTCATGTTCGTTCATTGAATAAATAAACGAACACGAACGAACATAAACGAACAACACAAACAAAAAAAACTTATTCGAACACAACAAACTAATGTAAAAAAGTAAACAACAAGAATAACAACTTAAAATTCATTAATATAACCTGCAACTTTAGAGTTAATTTGTTCGAATACGACAAACATATATAAATCATAAATAAGCTATATGAACATAATAAAGTCTTAAAGTTAATTTGTTCAACAAAACAATCTTCTTGAAATCCAAACAACTTCAATAATCTTCGTAACATATTCAATTTGCCCTCTGTTCGAACATAAATGAACGGACATAAACGAACATATAATCGAATGTTCACGAACGTAAATGAACGAACAAGCTCTTTGTTCATGTTCGTTCATTTAATTAAACGAACGCAAAATCTAGTTCATGTTCATTCATTTAATAAATAAACGAACATAAACGAACACAAATATAAGCGAACAAATTTTTTTTTGTTCATGTTCGTTCATTAAGGAATATAACTTTTTCATATTCGTTCATTGAATAAATAAACGAACATAAACGAACATAAACGAACACGAACGAACATAAACGAACACAATAAACGAACATAAACGAACAAAAAAAAACTTATTCGAACACAACAAACGAATGTAAAAAAGTAAACAACAAGAATAACAACTTAAAATTCATTAATATAACATGCAACTTTAGAGTTAATTTGTTCGAATACGACAAACATATATAAATCATAAATAAGCTATATGAACATAATAAAGTCTTAAAGTTAATTTGTTCAACAAAATAATCTTCTTGAAATCCAAACAACTTCAATAATCTTCGTAACATATTCAACTTGTCCTCTGTTCGAACATAAATGAACGAACATATAATCGAATGTTCACGAACGTAAATGAACGAACAAGCTCTTTGTTCATGTTCGTTCATTTAATTAAACGAACGCAAAATCTTGTTCATGTTCGTTCATTTAATAAATAAACGAACATAAGCGAACTTCCCGCAGCACGGTTCATGAACGGTTCGCTGAACGTTCAGTTCATTTAAATGCCTAGTAGTTAGAGTGTTTCACCCACTTTAAACTGTACAATTAAATAGTTAGATGTTCTGATTGAAAAATTAAAAGATGAGAGGTAAACAAAAAACACTCTAAATAATTGAGTGATCAATGGTGTAGTTTACCCTTTAAAAAATAGTTCCAAATTTGTTTTAATCGTATAAAAACAGTCCATTTGCCAGATTTATCGAGCATCACTCACACAGCCCAAAACAGTTCCAAAACTAACCACTGGGAATGTCATCCCATGAGGAAGGAGGCGCTGCCGCCGCCACCAGTATCCCCGGCACCGGCAGGGCGGTTTCCACCCATCAAACAAACACAACCATCAACAAAAAACTCCCCGAGATAGCCATTGCAGTTGAAGAAGGAGGCTTCAATCTCAGCAACGACGATACAGAGAGACTCAATTCATTAGCCAAAGCTTTGGAAGGCGATCGATTATTCGAACCCAAAGCGAAACCATTGATCCGAAAGGTTCCATCAACCCTCTGCATCCCCAAAGATTTCGCCAAGTATTTCAAGCCGAGGGTCATCTCGATCGGACCCATCCACCACGGCGATCCCGCCCTCGACGGCTCCGAGCCACTCAAGCTTATATTAGCAGCACATTTCGTAAAGAACATCGGAGTAGAGGAGAAGAAGTTATACAACATAATCAAGACGGAGATCGGGAGCTTGAAGAAATGCTACGATCCGAAGGAGTTGGAGCGGTTCGACGACGAGCAGCTGGCCTGGATGTTCTTCCTCGACGGATGCGCAATCTTGCAAGCTATTTTACAAGGCGATGGAGAAGAACAACCGCAGAGCAAAATGAACATTAAGAATGATCTGCTGACGTTTGTGCACTTGGATCTGCTCTTGTTGCAAAACCAACTGCCTCACGAGGTTCTTCGATTGCTTACGAGCTCCAGCAGCAATGGATACGGAAAAAATTTCATGGAGTCGGTCAGAAGGTTCATTGAGAACAATGTTATCACTCCGGCGGAGATGAAAGAGCAACAGAAACAAAAACGGCCGTCACCGTCTCCACAAGCGGAGATGAAAAAGCAACTGAAACAACAACCGTCTGCACAAGAACAGGAGGAAGCCGTTCATCTGCTGGATCGTTTGCGGAAAAGGCTGATTTTGGAGAAGACGAAGGAGGTGAAATTTTAAGTTTTCAATTTTTTTTATTTAGAAGTACATAAAAAATTTCCAACTACATAGAATGTTTTGTTGTTAAGTATTCCGAGTATTGAAAAACTATAAAATGAATTTTAGATTATAAAATATTATTTTATTAAATCACTCAAATATTAAAATTTAAAAAAGGGCCACAAGATTATTTGTATGTGTCAAACTAATTATTTTTTCGTTAAAAATTAAAGGTCATTTAAGTTGGACATCAACGACGGATTTAGAAATTTAAGAATGAGAGACTAAATTTTTTTTTTTTTTTTTAATAATAAGTATGCAAAAAAATTTTATTTTTCCTTTTTTTTCTTAACACATAAATTAAATTTAACAATTTTTCCAAAATAACGAGTCCCTTTTGGACATTATCCTGTTAATTAGATATGATAAAATTTGATGTATTAGCTGTATAGTCATTTGAGATTGTGGAATCAAATTTTATTATATCTCAATAAACATGTTAATGTCTATAACTTTTAATAGTTGTAAAACTCAACCAACATTGTTATATAATTGAAGGACTATTTTATAATTTTTAATAATTGTTTGACTCAATAAATAATATTTTATAATAGAAGAGAATATTTGTATACTTTATTTTTTTATTGATAATATATTTTTTAACATAAAAGTTTACGTCGTTTATGAGAAGGGAGGAAAACAATTTGGACGCAATTGGATTTCTGAATTTATAAGGAGTTCTAGCAACAGAGGAAGAACAGAAAGCCGTTATTCGCAAACTTTCCGTAACGTGAAGGAGCTGAGAGCCGCTGGAATTTGGCTGAAACCTAGTCCGTCTAGCTGCCTGAAAGACGTGAGTTTCGGCCGCGTCTGCTGTAAGGGAAACCTATGGCTACCGCCGATCACGGTGGATGACTCGACAGGGCCTAAGTTCATGAACCTGATAGCCTACGAAATGTGCCCAGATTTCGAAAACGACTTCACCGTCACCTCCTACATCTGCTTCCTCGATTCTCTCATCGACGAGGCCGAAGACGTGAAGGAACTTCGAGACTCCGGAATACTGTACAATGGGCTGGGGAGTGATGAAGAAGTGGCTAAGTTGTTCAACAAGATGAACACTGATTTGGTTCCGAGTCCGACGATTTACTCCGACGTGAAATGGCAAGTCCAGAGACATTGCCGGAACATTTGGATCAATTACGCGGCTCAAGCTTACTACACACATTTTAACAGCCCTTGGACAATCTTAGCATTTGTCGCCGCCATTGCTGCTCTTCTTCTCAGTGCTCTTCAGACATATTACACAATAAAGTAAGCATTATTTTTCTTGTTTGGACAAATCATTTTTATTTAGACAAAAATTCATTAGAGTTCCTTCTACTTAAAAAAAATGAATGTGACATCCAACTCAGAAAATAAATTCAATGTTACCTTTTGCATAACGTTTTTTTGTTCTTTGACCATTGTGGTGTTGACGTGACGGTCAACGATATTAACGTGACAGTCCACGATGGCTGATAACATGATATATAACATGACAGATTGGTTAAATTGGTACCGTGGACTGTCACATCAACACCATAACGGTCAAACGACAAAAAATGTTGGTCAAAGAGCTATATCGGTTTTATTTTCCAAGTTGGAGGGCCACATTGAGAGAAAAAAATAATACAATTGCCACATTGATTTTTTTTCAAAAGTATAAGGACCTTTGATTCTTTTTTGCCTTTTATTTATCATAGATTTTAGGTAAACTTCCTACATTCTCAATCATTTATGCGGTTTCGTTTTATCACCCAATTATTTAAAAAAACATACCTTATATTACATTTTAATTCTTTTTTATCATTCGTCATTAAAATAGTAATAGAACTGCTGACATGTCATCATTATACAATGTCACACCATAATTGGAAAATAAATTATCCCATCAACAGTTCTCTTAGTTTTTTTTAACTATAAATGACTAAAACGGAACCAAAACATAACGTTAGGCATAATTTTAAAAAAAATAATTGAACGATCAAAACAAAATATATTAATAGTTGGGTGACTAAATACATATTTTACCCTAAAAGTAAAAGGTCAAACTATATGAGTGTCCACTTAATTATGGTGAGGTTCTAATTTGACCACATATCTATTGCTTTTATTAATAAGATAACTATAGGGGGTTTATTTTTCGGTTTTAATCGAATTAACCGATCGGACATAATTAGTTTGGTTAATTTGGTCGGCCACCAAATTAGTTTGGTCATGGAACGATTAATAATTTTTTTAGAATTCAGTTAACGGTTAATTTGGTTCGAAATCGGTTAATTAACCGAATTAACCAAAATTAAATTTTAAATTTTAAATATATTATATATAACATATAAGCTCAACCCAAATCATTTAAAACCCAATTAATAATTTAAGATCCAATAACTTTTAACCCTAAATCAATATTAATTAATTAAAAATCTATATAATTTTTTTAATTTTTTAATTATATATTATTATATTAATTGTAAACTATTTTTTTAATTAAAAATATTCAATTTTTTATATAAATTAAAATTTTTTTAAAAAAATCGGTTAATTAAAAAATTAACCAAAATTTATTCGGCTCGGTTAATATTTTTTTAAAAAAAGTTTAATTTGGTTAACAGTTAAAGAAAAAGAGTTCGACTAATTCGGTTAATGGTAATTCGATTCGATCGGTCACCGTTTTAACCGATTGAACATCCCTACTTAACTATCTAATCTATATCAATCGAGTTCTTTACCCTAATAGTCAAAGAATAAAAAGTAAAAGGGCAAACTATACGAGTGTCCACTTAATTATGTGAGGTTCTAATTTGACCACGTATCTATTACTTTTATTAATAAGATTACTTAACTATCTAAATGATATCAATCGAGTTTTTTTTGTTAACATTTAAATTAAAAATTAATTTGACAATTTAAAAAATTGATATAATTATATATTTGATTTTCATTATTTATGCATTCTATCACTTTGATCATAATTTTAATTTAACTCAAAAAGTTTAATCTTCTAATTAAATTATGAGATTTAACAAATACCAAAGTTCTTAAGGATTTTCTAGCTTTCATTAATAGATTTTTCTTCCATGTCTTTGGCAGTGATGATAAGGCAAATCCTACCGCAAATTGTACGTGCTTGTTTCCGCCAGCGGGAGCAGCAAATACCTCTCGAAAATGGTAAATTTTCAATTTAGTTTTTTCTTGAAATTAATAAATTATAAAATATTATAATAAAATTATATTTTATAAACAAACATAAATTTAGTTCAAGAAATTGTAGGTTGCTTGAAGACACTCGAAGATCCAACGATTGTTAGATATCAAACTATTTGTGTATGTGTGATGTCTTTATGTTGGAATAAACAATTTATGTTTCTATTTTTATCATTAAATTATTATTTTTAATGAATTTATATTTTATATTTTATTTTAGTCATTAAATATTATTTTTTATACATATTCTAATTTTAATCTTAATCCTATCTAGAGGGAAAGGGATACCTCAGAGAAAAAAAAAGTTCTCATAGTGGATTTAGAACTAATGATCTAAGAGAATACGAGGAAACAAAGATGAATAACTTGACCAACCGACTAAATGTGCTTGCTCCACTAATTATTACTTTTGATTGATGAATTAAAGAAAAATGTGATATGGCATGGTGTACTAATAGTTTTAGTCCTTAAAATTTATATATTCTATTAATTTGGTTCCAATTAAAAGTACTCATCAATAAATTTAATATATGTGTGTGTATCGAGATCTATCTCTTATATATTCATGGATAGTTGTAATGATGTGCATCTTTCTATATTATATATATTTATATGTCTCAGTTTGATGCATGTTTGTATTTTATAAAATGGGTTAAATTTGGGTCGAATGGGGATTTTTTAAACTCGAATTAGTTCCAATAACGAATGAAGAAAAATAATATTCAGATCGAATCAAGTCGGGTAGTCTAAAACTCTGATCCATGCTCATCCAATTTTAAATATAAGGGTAAATTATGTGTCCAGTACTTAAACTATCGGTTTTAGTCCGTTTTAGTACCTAAATTTTCATTTTATTTGAAACATACCTAAAGTTTAGTTTTTGTTTCATTTTAGTATCCCGTTTAAAATTTAACGTTAAGTTTTAAAAAAAATTGAAAGTTTATGTACTCTAATGGACCAAAACTGATAGTTTAGGTACTAAACGCATTAAGTTTTCAATGACGAGTACTAAACTGAAACAAAAAACTAAACGTTATGTATGATTTTGAAAAAATTTAAAAGTTTATGTACTAAAACAAACCAAAGCTAATAATTTAGATACTAAATTTGTACTTTACCCTAAATATAAAATAGTCAATTAGCCACGAATACTAGGTATAAAGCCATATTTGTCAACAACAAAAAAACCAGTTGCAAAATCACCTTTGTAATCACTTTTGAAAAGGTCAGCTGAAAATGTCGTCCGGGTGGATCGGCTTCCACCGATGAAACAGACATGGACAACAATAACAACAATAACAAATCCCCAGAGCTGGTCATTTCAGTACCACACAACAACTTCAATCTCAGCAACATCGATTTAAAGCGGCTCGACTCGTTAGACAAAGCTTTCGAAGGTGACCGACAACACAAACCCACCACCAAACCATTGATTCAAAGGGTTCCATCGACCCTCGGCATCCCCGATGATTTCACCAAGTATTTCAAGCCGAGGGTCATCTCGATCGGACCCATCCACCACGGTGATCCCTCTCTAGATGACTCCGAGCAGCTCAAGCTTCGATTAGCGGCTCATTTCGTGAGGAACATCGGGGTCGAAGAGGAGATGCTGTACAACGCGATCAAGACGGAGATCGGTAGCCTGAAGGAATGCTACGATCAGAAGTTATTGGAGCCATATGATGATGAGAAGCTGGCCTGGATGATGTTCCTCGACGGATGTGCGATCTTACAAGCCATTTTACAAGGGTCCTATTGTTATGATCAAAGTGGTTCTTCGAGTACTAAAATGATCATTAAACATGACTTGCTTACGTTCTTGTACTTGGATATGTTCTTGTTGGAAAACCAGTTGCCTTATCGTGTTCTTGAGTTGTTGATCACAAGCTCGAGCAGCAGCAAGAAGGGTTTGTCCATGAAAATGATCGAATGGTTCGTCGAAGAAATCGTTATTTTCCCGGCAGAGATAGAACAAGAAACACCATTAAAGCAGAAAGGAGAGCCGGTTCATCTCTTGGATCATCTGAGAAAAAGATTGATTCTCAAGGAGGAAAAGAAGACAACCCTTTTGGAGAAATTAGGGTTCATGTGCCAATGTCATTTGTTTAGCATCTCCAAACACAGAACAAAAGTGGACTATCATTATCCATGGTACCGTAAAGCGCAGGAGCTTCGAAACGCGGGGATTTGGTTCCAAGAAAGCGAAACCCCTCGGCTCACCGACGTTGGTTTCAGCCGGAGACTCTTCATGGGAAAACTATGGCTACCACGGATCATGGTGGACGACTCGACGGGGACTAGGTTCATGAACTTGATAGCCTACGAAATGTGCCCGGATTTCGAAAACGACTTCACCGTCACATCCTACATCTGTTTCCTCGACGAGCTCATCGACGACGCCGGCGACGTTAAACTGTTGAGAAACGATGGGGTGCTCCACAATGTGCTAGGCAGTGATGAAGAAGTGGCTAAGCTTTTCAACACCATGAGCACCGTGTTGGTTCCGAGCCCGGAGATTTACCTCGACGTGAAGCTGCAGATTGAGGATCATTGCCGGAGAAAGTGGATCAGACATGCAGCTCAAGCTTATCTGACCTATTTTAGTAGCCCTTGGACGTTTATAGCATTTATGGGTGCCAATGCTGCACTTCTCATGAGTGCCATTCAGACTTATTACGCCATTATTTCAGCAAAGTAAGTCTTCGTTTAGTTTGTGTTCTTTTTCATTAGATTTTGAACCTTATAGCTTAAATAACTATACCAATTGACGAACGAGTTGATTAGTAAGCAACTTTTTACTTAAGTAAGGTCTCAAAATCGAATCTTTTTGTAAGTAAAAAAATTCTCATTGGGAGAATCACCCACCACCAGATGTATGACGCGGGTTGATTCAGATTAATCAAAGCAACATTAGAACCAGAGCGAAAACATGATTTTATGTTAAGGAGAGAACTTATAAAATTTTTGAAGATGAACTTATACAATTTTTAAGAGAAAAAAACATATTATCAATAAAATAATAAAAAAACTTAATATATATATATATATATATATATATATTCAGAAAATCGTCACCGCAGTTCATCCTTAAAACAACCTATATACCAAATATTCTTTTCATGTATATATATAAATATTTTATAAAGTTCAAGAAGAGATGAAAAAATGAAATGCTATATTTTGTTCTTTAGAAGAGTATAAAACTGCTGTTTATATACAACCATTGATAATTAACTACCAAGACTAACAGAAATCTAACTAAGCTAACTAACTTAACTGATAATCAATTAACTTGAACAATGATAAACCCTAATATCTCCCCTCAAGGTGGGACTGCGTGGATGTTGAGGAAGCCCACTTGTCAACAAAGGCACGATGCAAAGGAGATCGGAGAGTCTTGGTAAATACGTCAACTAGTTGATCAGAAGATCGGACGTGAAAAAGTTTCAAAAAAACTAGATTTAACCTTGTCACGCACAAAATGGCAATCGACCTCAATGTTTTGATCCTTTCATGAATCGCCAAATGAATTGCAGCGTGGTTATCACAAAATAACCGGTCACATATCATTAAACCGTTAACAATGTGTTGATGTGACAGTTTCTTTCTTGTTTTTCTGTAGAAAATTGTCAATTCTTCCGACCATCATTAGCAGCCAATCATCGTCCATCACTGATCATCATTCGTGGAAAGATCGATATCAAAATATTCACATTTCACTTTACTTTCTTCTTCTCTGATCGGTATTCCATGAAACCCATTGTATATCAACGAAACTCATCTAAAGGTATGATGTTCTAATGCTTCGATCACCTCTGATGATCGTTCCATGATGTTAATTTCGAGATTTGTTGTTTATCTTCTTGATAGAATATTTTTAATCTTTTGGATTTTCAAACAAACGCTTAAAATTCCTTAAATATGAGAAAGTCCACAAACCCTCTAAAGTGAAGAATTTAGTGTGTTTTATTTCATGAGTATTAAAGATGTTTAGAAAACTCTAAATTTATAAGGTAGTAGAGGACGATTGAGTTGAATTAATCGATGTTTAACATAATCACAAAAGATTCTGAAGAATGATAGTTTTCAAGTGAAAAAAAAACATATTTTTAATAAAGATTATGATAAAATAAAATTAAAAAATAACTTATACATCAGCACCAAATTATTATATCATTTATTATTAACGATTTAAAAATTCAATGATTAGATTAATAAAAAAATTAAAGTTCAATAAAAATTCTACTTTTGAACACGTTCTTAAAGTTAAACCCTTATCTTGCTTTAACTTTTGCAGGCTTAAACTATAATAAAATGATATTATAAAAATCACTTTAATAATAAAATTTATTCGATGAATTAGTTTATTATGATAATTTTGAGAATGACAAAAATGTTATCCGATAGAAAATTTTATATTCACTTCCTTTTCATAAAAGTAAGGGTAAACTATAATATTAGTCATTGAACTTTAGATTATGGATCGATTTTGTCACTAAACTTTAAAAAGTTTCAATATTAGCATTGAATTTTAGTTTTTTTACAAGTTGGTCATTGGATCGTTAAATTGCTAATGAAGTGATGGTGGGGTTTCTTCCCCATTTTTACAAAAAAATCATCAATTTCACTTATTGTCTCTATCGACCAATTGTCGTGTGTCATCGGTCGTTGTTTGCAGCAAGATCGATACTAAAACATTCATATTTCACTACTCTTTATTTTGTCTCTATTGACCATTTGTTGCGTGTCATCGGTCATTGTTTGCAACAAGATCGATATCAAAACATTCATATTTCACTATTCTTTATTTTTTTACCTTTTTTCATGAAACCTACTCAAAATCGATGAAAAATCATCTAAATTTTCGATATTCTAATGCTTCAATCTCTTTCAATGACCGTCTGATGATTGTAGTTTTGAGATTTGTTTGCTTTTCTTCTCAAAATAATATTTATATATTTTTGAACAAACGCTCCAAAACCCTTAACCCCAAAATTTGAAGGTTTATATTTGTTTAATTGTGTGAGTTTTAAAAAGTGTTATAGTAAAATATAAACCAATAAAGTGATAAAGGACGATGAGTCAAATTCATCAATGTCTAAGGTGGCTATAAAAGACTCTAGAAAATGGTAGTTTTCGATGAAAATTGAAAATAAGATGTAAAAAACCTAAAAAAAAAATCACATCAACACCAAACCGTCATTTTTTTTTCACATCAACACCAAACCGTCACAAGATCCATTTGTTAAATATTTAACATCCAATGACTAAATTGATACGAAAACTAAAATTTAATCATAAAAATGATTCATTTTAAAATTTAATCATAAAAATGATTCATTTTAAAATTTAATGACTAAATCGATACACAACTTAAAAGTTAGTGACTTATAGTTTACCCTGACAAGTAGATAAAAGCCCACTTAAAACTCAAATTAAGTTGCCAAAACCAGTTGTAAAATCACCTTGTTAATCACTTACATAAAGGTCAGCTGAAAATGTCGTCCCACGAGGAAGGAAGCGCCGCCTCCAGTGTCCCCGGCGGAGCAGTTTCCACCGACGAAACATATAACATTATCCCAGAGATAATCATTTCAGTGCCACACAGGAACCTCAATCTCAGCAATGTCGATATAGAGAGACTCGAGTCATTAGACAAAGCTTTTGAAGGTGATCATCAACTCAAACCCACCACCAAGCCATTGATCCAAAGGGTTCCATCAACCCTCGGCATCCCCGATGATTTCGTCAAGTATTTCAAGCCGAGGGTCATCTCGATCGGACCCATCCACCACGGCGATCCCACTCTCCGTGGCTCTGAGCAACTAAAGCTCCGACTAGCGGCCCATTTCGTGAAGAACATCGGGGTCGAGAAGGAGACGTTGTACAACGCGATCAAGACAGAGATCTGTAGCTTGAAGGAATGCTACGATAAGAAGTTATTGAAGCCATATGATGATGAGAAGCTGGCCTGGATGATGTTCATCGACGGATGTGCAATCTTACAATCCATTTTACAAGTCTCTTATTATTATTATTATGAAGATGATGATGAATGTAAATCGTGGAGTAGAAAGATCATTAAGACTGATTTGCTGACATTCGTGTACTTGGATCTGTTCTTGGTGGAAAATCAGTTGCCTTATCGTGTTCTTCAGTTATTGATCACAAGCTCGAGCAGCAGCAAGAAGGGTTTGTTAATGAAAATGATCGAAGGGTTCGTCGAAGAAACTTTTATTTTCCCAGCAGAGATTGAGCAAGAAACAACATTAAAGCAGGAAGGACAGCCGGTTCATCTCTTGGATCATCTGAGAAGAAGATTGATTCTCAATAAAGAAAAGAAGGCAACCCTTTTGGAGAAATTAGGGTTCATGTACCTGCATTTGTTCTCCAATTGCAAATACAAGAAGATGGACCATTATCCTTCGTTCCGTAAAGCAGAAGAGCTTAAAAATTCTGGAATTTGGTTCAAACAAAGCGAAACCAGTCTCCTCACAGACGTCAGTTTCAGCCGGACATTCTTCGTTGGAAAACTACGGCTTCCGCCGATCAGGGTGGACGAGTCGACGGGGCCTATGTTGATGAACTTGATAGCCTACGAAATGTGCCCGGATTTCGACAACGATTTCGCCGTCACGTCTTACGTATGCCTCCTTGATTCGCTCGTCGACGATGCCGGCGATGTTCATGTACTGAGAGACGACGGCGTGCTGTACAATGCGCTTGCCATTGTCGGACAAAGTGGATCAGGCATGCAGCTCAAGCCTACCTCACCTATTTTAGCAGCCCTTGGACCTTCACAGCATTTGTGGCCGCCATTGCTGCACTTCTCCTCAGTTCTCTTCAGACTTCTTACACCATTATTTCAGCAAAGTAAGTCTTCATTTACTCGTCATGCAAACAACTGTGATTTATCATAGATTTTAGGGTAAATTACACATTTACTGTTTAAACTATCAGTTTTAGTCTGTTTTAATACATAATTTTTTTTTTCAAAACCATACCTGAAGTTTATTTTTTGTTATTTTAGTACTCCGTTCAAAATTCAATGTTAAATTTTGAAAATAATTGAAAGTATAAGTACTGAAACAGACTAAAACTAATAGTTTAGGTACTAAATGTGTTAAGTTTTTAATGGTAGGGTACTAAAATGAAACAAAAACTAAATATTAGGTATGGATTTGAAAAAAACTAAAAGTTTAGGTACTAAAACATACCAAAACTGATCATTTAGGTAATATATGCGTGGTTTACCCTAGATTTTAAGATAAAATACACTAAATATCATTAGACTTTAGAAGGTGTATCGTTTATAGTAGTATTAAACTTTCTATTGCTCTAATTATAACATTAAACTATGGTTTTGGTTTCAATTATATCACAGGGTTGCTAAAATCTAAACGACGTGAAAACATGAACAAAATAATATAGTTTTGATGCGGCTATCGATGCCCAAAACAACGTAGTTTTAGACACTAAATTTTGGAGATGTATTGATTTTGTTACCAAACTTTAAAATCTCATATAGGTTGAGTCGGGCTGAGTTTTTAGTCGACCTAGATATGGCTTGAGATTTCCACTACTCCACGTCATCTTAGCCGATATAGTTTAGGAAAATTCCATCTAACCTGATAAAAACTCGCATTTGACCCTAATTTATTTTCATATGATAGAATATGAACTTAACTGGAAAAGTTG